TATCCGCACACGTGGATCAAGGTCCTAGTTTTAACGTGCCCGCGCTACGCGCACTTCATCGTTGCGATATTGGTCTCGAGTCGTCGGTTTGACGTGCTCCACTCTCCAGTCGCGCCCTCATCCTCGACGCCTTCGCGCTCGATCTCGTTGAATTTCTCAAATCGAAAGCTTTCACGCTTCCATCATCGATTTCCTCTTCGGTTTCCTTGATCAAATCTCAATTTTGACCATCTCTTAAAACTCGTTTTTCGAGTTCCCTCGGACTGCGCCAGAATAGGCGAACTCCCCTTGCGAAATCGCCTCACGAACATCTCGCGTCAAGCAAGAGCAGGTACCCATGTGGAAGCGGAGCAGAGCTGGTTGAGGAGCTGGTTGCGGAGCAAGTTGCGAAGCTGGTTGCGGAGTTGTGTAGCTGGGGATAGAGCCTGGGGGTTGTGGGGGGTGTGTGGGTCCAGGGATAGACATAGTCTCAGTTCAGTTTCAAGTCGATGTTTTAACAAGTTTCCGCCGACGCATTTCTTTCTCAGCGGCATATCGACGAAGCAGCCGGCGTGATTTTCAAACAATTCTCGTCGACCGATTTCCAGAATTGTCACGCTGCGTACCGAAGCTCCTATCGGTAACTTAGGAGCGTCGCTTCGCGAAATCAAGCAGCAATGGCTTACTCGACCACTTCACTCGCCAACCCGATCCTGCTCCTTCGTCTTGAGCCGGACAGCACATACTCCAACTACAAGGCTTCGCCAAATGGTGTCGACAAGCACCTCCTCAGTCGCGAGGTGAAGGGGCTAGAGCTCACCGACGTCCTTCTCAACATCGGTGACGGCAAAGAGCCTCCTGAACCAGAGGATCCGACAATCCAGCTAATGCCACGCCGAAGCAGTTTATGCTGCTGCACTGCTCATGTACAAGAATTGGGAGAAGGCCGATGGCATGGTCATTTAGTTTTCATGGGCACCACTCCTCCCGAACTCGTCGAAACCTACTACAACTACCCGTCTGCCAACGCCATTTGGCTCTACTTCGAAGACTGCTTCCTGAACAAGACTGCAGTGGGAGTTGCTATACATCCCCAGCATGTTCCAAGTGCGGCTTGAGACTCGCCAGGCATGGCGGACTATGTCACCAGGTGCAGTCCATTCATGGTGAACTCAAGCAGTTGGGGATAGTCTTCCCCGAGCAAGCCCCTGCAGCCGCTCTTAGTCAGCCTCACTCCGGCATACGCAGTCTTATGCAAGATCCTCTTGGGTTTTGCTCCTACGGGCCTTACATTTGCCAAGGTCTCATCCGCACTCCTTTCTGCCGAAAAGGACAACAGCGCTCAAGCAGGCCAATGCAATCCGCGTCTTGTGCCTCAGGCCTATACCACTTCGGCACCATTCCAGCGCAACCGCTTCCCCCCATGTCCCGACGTCATCAAGCACGGCCCTCGTGCCGGCCAGGTGTGTGGCGGCACCAACCACGCCCTCGCCTACTTCAAGAAGAAGGATGATGAGTGGTATGCCGTCAATGGGGACCGCCTCGAAGCCGCCAAGCTGGATGGTCAATCGTGCTCTACGCAAGGTCAATCAAGTCAAAGCGAAGGAATCCGTGCAGGCTGCTGTAGCTCCCCCTGGTGATGTGCGCCTCAACATGTTGTTCCCTGGCACTGCCATGATCAATGAGACAATTTTCGCAGTGTCCCGGCTCACAAAGCACCTCAGCCACAATAAATTTCACCCTCAACAGTGGGGCCACTCACACATTTCTCAAGGAAGAACACTCCTTCAAGCCATACAAACACCAATCCCTGTACTAGTGACACCGTTCCCAGCTTTCCTTCGGTGGTGTCACCGGCATGTGTGTTCCCAGACTACGCCACAATCTCGTGGCCCAGCACGAGCTCCAATGGGCAGGCGCCACCATGATCTTCCCAGCACACTCGAATCACTGTGACCTCCTAGATCCTGAGTTCAATAAGCTCCTAGCACGCTTCACACTCAACAGTAGCAAGCTCTACACGCTGCGTTCACCTGCACCTCTCGCCGCCCTCTCCCAAGCGCCAGCTGCCAACACCACTCCGTGTTCCTGTCGCAGCTTTGCCAACCAAACCAGCCTCTACCATTATCGCTTGGGTCACCCCAAGTTCCGTACGCTTGCCGACATCGCTTCCAAGAAGCTTCTTCTTCGCCCCCGTCGGTGCTTCCTCCACCAACAGACTCACCTGCACCCACCTGCCTCGACTACACCAAGAGCAAGCTCAGGCAGCAGCCGCACCCTTCCTCCCCATCTGTCACAGCTGGTCCGCTAGACCTAGTGGACATGAATGTCTGGGGCCCAGCTCCAATCGCACCCCGAGGCGATTATCGGTCCTTTCTTACCCTAGTCGATGACCACGCACGGTATATTTCTGTGCACCTCCTGCATACCAAGGTGGAGGCACCTGACCTCATCATGGCATGGGTGCGCCAAGCTCAAGTCACGTTCGGCACTCCTCTGAAGTGCCTCCATTCTGATGGCGAGGGAGAATTTCGCAATGGCAAACTCGATAACTTCTGCGCAGCCCAAGGGATTCGGCAAACCTTCACACTCCCCGAAAGCCCGCAGCATAATGGCATTGCAGAGAGCCGCAACCATGGGTTGGGGTGTACTCATAAAATCCCAAACTCATCTAATTGTGATCCCCCTAATCTCCAATTTCCCAATTGGAGATTCTGGAGATCCCACAGGGGATTCCCTCCGATTCCCCCTTCATCCATTCTCTCTCATCTTGTGATGTACTTGTAGAGCCTTGGGCTCCTTACCTTATCAATATTTTCAGCTCTTTTTCTTACATGTTATAAGAGCGACCTATCCGCACACATGGGTCAAGGTCCTATTCTTAATATTCTCGCGCTACGCACACCTTATCGTCGCCACATTCGTTTCGAGTCGTTGGATTATTTTACGTGCTCCACTCTGCAATCACGCATCTCGTCGTCCACCACTTCGCGCTCGACCTCGTTGAATTTCTCAATTCGAAACTTTTCATGCTTCTTATCATTAATTTCCTCTTCGGTTCTCGTTGGTCGAACCTCAATTTTGACCATCTCTTAAAATCGTTTTCGAGTTTCCCCTCTAACCCTGCCAGAATAGGCAATCTCCTCCCGCGGAATCGCCTCCACGAACGTCTCGAGTCAAGCAAGAGCAGGTACACAGGGGGAAACGGAGCGGAGCTGGTTGCGGAGCTGGTTGCGGAGCTGTGTAGCTGCGGGACAGGGCCTGGGGGTGTGTAGGGGGAGTGTGGGTCGGGGTTAGACATAGTTTCAAATTCAGTTTCAAGTCAGCCTTTTAACGAATTTCTGCCGACGCCATTTCCTTCTTAGCAGCATGTCGGCGAAGTCGCCGGAGTGATTTTCAGCACTTCTCATCAGCCCATTTCCAGAAGTTCCTCGCTGCGCACCGAAATTCCTATCGGTGACTTAAGAGCATCGCTTCGCGAAAATCAAGCGGCAATGGCTTACTCAACCACTTCACTCGCCAACCCGATCCCGCTCCTTCGTCTCGAGTCGGCCGGTACATGCTCCAAGTACAAGGCTTGGCGCTATGGTGTCGACAAGCACCTTCTCTGTTGCGAAGTGAAGGGGCTAGAGCTCACCGACGTCCTTCTAAACATTGGTGACGGCAAAGAGCCTCGTAAACGCGAGAGGTCCGACAATCCAGCTAATGTCGCCGCCGAAACAGTTTATGCTGCTGCACTGCTCAAGTACAAGAATTGGGAGAAGGCCGATGGTGTGGTCATTAGTGTCTTCATGGGCACCACTCCTCCCGAACTCGTCGAAACCTACCACAACTACCCGTCTGCCAATGCCATTTGGCTCTACCTCGAAGACCGCTTCCTGAATAAGACTGCAGTGGGAGTTGCTATACTCATCCCCAGCATGTTCCAAGTGCGGCTTGAGGACTCGCCAGGCATGGCGGACTATGTCACCAAGGTGCAGTCCATTCATGGTGAACTCAAGCAGTTGGGGATAGTCTTCCCTGAGCAAGCCTCTGCAACCGCTCTCCTAGTCGGCCTCACTCCAGCATACGAAGTCACACGCAAGATGCTCTTTGGCCTTGCTCTTGCGGACCTCATTTTGGCCAAGGTCTCATCCGCGCTCCTTTCTGCCGAAAAGGGCAACAGAGCTCAAGCCAACGCCAATGCAATCTGCGCTCCCGTGCCTCACGCCTATGCAGCTTCGACACCATTCCAGTGCAACCGCTTCCCCCCATGTCCCTACGTCATCAAGCACGGCCCTTGTGCCGGCCAAGTGTATGGCGGCACCAACCACGCCCTCTCCTCCTGCTTCAAGAACAAGCATGACAAGTGGTATGCCGTCAATGTGACCACCTCGAAGTAGCCAAACTGGATGGTCTATCGTGCTTCTCGCAAGGTCAATCAAGTCGAAGCTGTAGCTCCCCCTTCTGATGTGCACCTCAACTTGTTGTTCCCTGGCACTGCCATGATTCATGAGACAATTTCGCAGTGTCTCAGCTCACAAAGCACCTCAGCCACAATAGAGTTCACCCTTTATAGTGGGGCCACTCACACAGTTCTCAGGGAAGAGCACTCCTTCAAGCCATACAAGACACCAATCTCTCTACTAGGAGAAGACTCCAGTTTCACAACACACTCCAAGGGCTTCCCTACAGTTCCGTGCCCAGCTTTCCCTTCGGGCAGTGTCACCGGAGATTCTGGAGAACCCAATGGGGATCCCCCCAATCTCCAATTACCCAATTAAAGTTTTTGGAGATCCCAATGGGGATTCCCTCCAATTCCCCCTTCATCCATTCACTCTCACCTTGCCATGTACTTATAGAGCCTTGGGCTCCTTACCTAATCAATCATTTCAACTCTATTTCTTACATGGTATCAGAGCGACCTATCCGCACACGCGGATCAAGGTCCTAATCTCAACGTGCCCGCGCTACGCGCACTTCATCGTCGCGACATTCGTTTCGAGTCGTCGGAATTTCGACGTGCTCCACTCTGCAGTCGCGCCTCTCATCGTCGACCGTCTTCGCGCTCGACCTCGTTGAATTTCTCATCTCTGAAGCTTTCACGCTTCTCATCGTCGATTTCCTCCTCGGTTCTCCTTGGTCGAATCTCAATTTCGACCATCTCTTAAAACTCGTTCTCGAGTTTCCCCTCAGACCCCGCCAGAATAGGCGAACTCCCCTCGCAAAATCGCCTCCACGAACGTCTCGCGTCAAATCAAGAGCAGGTACACAGGTTGAAGCGGAGCGGAGCTGGTTGCGGAGCTGGTTGCGGAGCTGGTTGCGGAGCTGTCTAGCTGCGGGACAGGGCCTGGGGTTGTGTGGGGGGGTGTGTGGGTCCGGGGTTAGACATAGCAGATTCAGTTTCAAGTCGGCGTTTTAACGAATTCTCGCCGACGCCATTTCCTACTTAGCGGCATTTTGATACAGCCGTCAGAGTGATTTTCAGCAATTCTCGTCGACCAATTTCCAGAAGTGCCGCGCTGCACACCGACAATGGCTTACTCAACCACTTCACTCGCCAACCCGATCCCGCTCCTTCGTCTCGAGCCGGACGGCACATGCTCCAACTACAAGGCTTGGCGCTATGGTGTCGACAAGCACCTCCTCAGTCGCGAGGTGAAGGGGCTCGAGCTCACCGACGTCCTTCTCAACATCGGTGACGGCAAAGAGCCTCCTAAACCCGAGAGGTCCGCCGATCCAGCTAATGCCGCCGCCGAAGCAGTTTATGCTGCTGCACTGCTCAAGTACAAGAATTGGGAGAAGGCCGATGGTGTGGTCATTAGTGTCTTCATGGGCACCACTCCTCCCGAACTCGTCGAAACCTACCACAACTACCCGTCTGCCAACGCCATTTGGCTCTACCTCGAGGATCGCTTCCTGAACAAAACTGCAGTGGGAGTTGCTATACTCATCCCCAGCATGTTCCAAGTGCGGCTCGAGGACTCGCCAGGCATGGCGGACTATGTTCCCAAGGTGCAGTCCATTCATGGTGAACTCAAACAGTTGGGGATAGTCTTCCCCGAGCAAGCCCCTGCAGCCGCTCTCCTAGTCGGCCTCACTCCGGCATATGAAGTCACACGCAAGATGCTTGGGCCTTGCTCCTGCAGATCTCACATTTGCCAAGGTCTCATCCGCGCTCCTTTCTGCCGAAAAGGACAACAGCGCTCAAGCCAAGGCCAATGCAATCCGCGCTCCCGTGCCTCAAGCCTATGCCGCTTCGGTGCCATTCCAGCGCAACCGCTTCCCCCCGTGTCCCTACGTCATCAAGCGCGGCCCTCGTGCTGGCCAGGTGTGTGGCGGCACCAACCACGCCCTTGCCTCCTGCTTTAAGAAGAGGGATGACGAGTGGTATGCCGTCAATGGGACCGCCTCCAAGCCGCCAAGCTGGATGGTCAATCGTGCTCCTCGCCAAGTCAATCAAGTCGAAGCGCAGGAATCCGTGCAGGCTGCTGTGGCTGCACCTGCTGATGTGCGCCTCAACATGTTCATTTGCACGTCATCCTGTCGTCTGTTCGCATCATTTCGTTTGCATGTGTTTTGTGTGTTACGTTGTTTGTATGGTTTGTTGGGTTTGCATGTCTTTGCATGTTCATCTTGTGCTTGTGCAGATGTGCTTGGATTGTGCATGACATCGAGCACATTCCAACGAGCCAAGAATTGTTGGAATCGGAGCACATATGAAGAAGTTACGAAGAAATGTTTGATGGATTTGTTACAACTCATTGGAAGTCCTTGTCAGCTGTGGGACAGCTGGCTCGAGTAGTGCAAAATCCAACAGAAGAGCAGTGTGGTGCAGCGGAGAGAGTGGTGCGCTACCTCAAGTCATACCCTACAGTGGGAGTACAGTATTCAGCCTCTGCTCAACTCAGTCAAAAAGGAATTGAAGTCGTCAAAGAGAAGGGGGAGCAGCTCGGAGAAGGAAAGGTGTTCCTTTCCTGTTTTGCTGATGCCACGTGGGCTTCTGAGCATGAGGATTCATCATCAGTTGGTGGATACATCTGCATGGTGGGAGGTGGGCCTGTAAGTTGGAGGTCCAAGAAGCAGTCTGAGACGGCACTATCTTCAGTGGAATCTGAGTACATGGCGATGTTTCATGCGGCAAAAGAAATCATCTGGCTAAGGAGGCTCTTGAAGGAGATCGGCCATGAACAGACTTGTGCGACACCTCTGTTCAGTGATAGCAAGGGAGCCATTGCCATGGCACGCAATGCAGTTGTTCATGGGTTGAACAAGCACATGAGGATCAAGTGGCATTGGCTGCGGAAGGAGGTGAAGCTTGGGACACTGGATCCGATCTACGTGAAAACTCAGCAACAGCCAGCCGACTTCCTTACCAAGCGGCTAGCTGAAGAGCCACACTGGCGCTGTGCGAGGATGGCGGGAATGTCCTTGAACTAGAGACGGCGAAACAAGCCGACAGTCTGAGGGGGAGTGTGTTGGTGCATATTCATTTGCACGTCATCCTGTCGTCTGTTCGCATCATTTCGTTTGCATGTGTTTTGTGTGCTACGTTGTTTGTATGGTTTGTTGGGTTTGCATGTCTTTGCATGTTCATCTTGTGCTTGTGCACATGTGCTTGGATTGTGCATGACATCGAGCACATTCCAACGAGCCAAGAATTGTTGGAATCGGAGCACATATGAAGAAGTTACGAAGAAATGTTTGATGGATTTGTTACAACTCATTGGAAGTCCTTGTCAGCTGCTAGACCAAAGTTGGAGAGCCCTATAACGAGGAGGGACCAGCATGTGTGGGACTTTTGTCCCCACCTTGCAGCTGCAGCATTTGGGGTTTGGAGGCCAACCTGGCACAGTGTGAATTTTGTCTTGCCAGGCTGGCTGAACCTGAGGATGGGGAGTCAAAACTTTGACTCTTGTCATGTTCTTGACCATGGGCCTCCAGGGTCCTTCCCTTTCATCCTTCCCTTCCTACCCCACCTTCCAACTGTGCTTCAATGCCTTTTCTATCATGCCTCTGATCTTGTAAGCTTCAATCATAGTGACTCTGAGGACTGTCAACTTCTCCTAGGGCAGATTACCCCCCAGTGCGCCAAACGCCATAGCTCACTCGTTAAGCTACGAAATCGAGTGATTCAACTTTCAGTGGAAAGCTGACGCTGCCAGCGACAACATATCCGATTTTCAGATCGTTTCACTTATTGGAGTTTTGGATATAGCTATTCGAAGGTCGCGAGTTTTCTGGGCGTCATAACGAAGTGCTGCAGAAATTTCCAAGGAGCCATTGAATCATCTGCTTATAGCCTTCTCTAACCAACAAGTGGTATCAGAGCCTATTATCACGCATTTGGGACCTAAAATACGATGGGAGATAAGGAGGACTCTGGTGGAGGTGATACTTCAGTCGAAGGAGGCAGCTCAACCCAAGATTCTGGCATTGCAGCGCAAAGGGGAGCGCGTACAAGCCAGGGGTCACTGCTTAAGGAGGTGCTGAAGAACTTCACCATTGAGAAGTTCTCTGGAGATGGCTATGATGATTGGGCATGGAAGATGCAGCTCTACTTTCGACAAATTGGCCTCTTGAAGCTCATGATTGGAATGGAGCCAAGGCCAAAGGAAATGGCAGAGCAAGCGGACTGGGATGAACGTTCATCTGCTGGGTATTATCTACTGTCACAAAGCTTGGAGCTGAACCAGAGGCATCACATCATGCATCTGCTACCGGAAATTGATTGTGGGCCCAAGGCATGGGCAGTGCTCAAGGACCTGCATGCTCCGACATCCGTTGCCGCTTCTCTCATGCTGGATCGGGAGCTGTCCATGCTGCGGTTGAGCGAGAATGAACCTGTGCAGCCCGTACTGGACAAGATGAGGGAACTCTACGCGAAATTGGCGATTGCAGGCATCACGTACCCTGAGCAGACAAAGTGTCTCAAGATGCTCAGCCTGCTGCCGGAGTCTTGGCTGCAATTTATAAGCGGACTCAGCTTGCCACAAAACCAAAGTCAATGGACATTGGAGTGGATTCGCACCAAGATTCTGGAAGAAGATTTTGTCGCTATACACTGCGCGGAGGTGATGACAGCACCAGCGGCTATGCCATGCAAGGGACATGGAGGGATCGAGGGCGTGGCAATCGCGGTCGCTCTTACCACAGCCAAGGTGGTCGCGGGACTTGGAACCAGCAGGGGCGTGGTGGCGCTGGTGCAAGAGGAAGAGGTGGTCACTCCAACAATGACAACAGTGAACCACGCTTGAGGGGAGAGTGCTGGTATTGCAAGGAAGAAGGGCATCCATGGTTTCGCTGCCCTACCAAGCCCGACTGGTGGACCCCTTGGAACCAATCGCAGAAGGGGAATGGAGGAAAGCAACCACATGGAGGTGCCAACATGGTAGCTGATCCTGCTGAAGAAACCTCCAAGGATGACAGAGGAATGGGAAATGAGGAGAGGAATGCTGGACAGTTCTACCATGTGTGTGACAAAGATGACAGTGGCACAGCTGTTGCAAGGGCTGGAGAGGAATTGCACCCGCTTGACATGTGGGTCATGGACTCTGGTGCTGCATGGACAATGACACCACGCAAGGACTTGCTGGATGCTGTGCGAGCGCCTCCAATCTCTGAAGTGCGCTCAGCATCCGGACATGCAGTGAAGGTCGCTGGAGTTGGTCGAGCTGCATTCAGAGCACCTGATGGTGGACTGGTTGTGCTGAAGGACGTGTTACTCGTACCGGGGCTGAAGGCCAATCTGATATCGCTGCGCAAGCTAGGCCAGGCCGGAGTCAGCACCACCACCAATGGATCCAAAACATTCAAGGGGCTGCGAGGAGATCGTGTGTTATGGGATTTACACGAAAGCAGAGATGTCTTCAGATCCATGTGGCAGATCCCTGCACTGATATGGGAATCAACAAAGAAGGAGTTGGTAGAAGTAAAGGCGGGTTCTGGAGTCCAGGGGGAGTGTAATGCAGTTAGTGCTGCAGGAGTGACGGTTTCTGCAAGGTCGGGGGAGACTGATTGGGAAACCGCACACAGGCGTCTAGGGCATGTGGCTATGCCATTGCTGCAGCAACTGCATAAGGAAGAAGCAGTAAAGGGGCTCAAGCTTTCTGGGCAACCAAATGATACCAAGTGCGAGACATGTCTGCTGAGCAAGTTCACACGGTTCCCCTTTCACGGCGTAGCTGGGAAAAGCAAGGCAGCACTGGAACTGGTGCATATGGACCTCGTAGGACCTTTTCCATTCCGAGGAAGTAAGGGGGAAAGGTACTTCCTGACAATAGTTGATGACTGGAGTCGGCTGATGTGGGCATACCCGTTGAAGCAGAAGGATCATGCTGCCTCAACAATACGAGATGATTGGCTGCCGTTCGTCGAGCGACAATCTGGGCACCCATGCAAGAGCATCAGAACCGACCGAGGTGGAGAGTTTCTAGGAGGAGATCTGACTGCGTGGCTCAAGAAACAAGGCATTGAGCATCAGCTAACGACGTCCTATACCCCTCAGTCAAATGGCGTTGCTGAGAGGGCTAATAGGACCATCCTGGAAACTGCGCGAGCGCTGCTGATCGAATCAGGGCTGGGGAACTCCATGTGGCCTCATGCGGTGAGGCATGCTACAGTGGCAAGGAACCGCGTACTCACAAAGGTGGCTGATGATATGTGGGTGCCGCTGGAGAGGTGGCTTGGAAAGAAGCCTCCAGTGGACATGCTTCGAGTGTTCGGATGCATGGCAGTGGCGCATGTCCCTAAACCGTACAGGACAAAGCTTGGAGCATCTGCACTTTGGTGTGTGCACCTTGGGCTCGCGGCAGAGAGCAAGGGGTGGCTACTCTGGGAGCCCTCAAAGAATGTGCTGTTTGACAGTCGGGATGTCAAATTTGTGGAGAACATCATGTATGGCAAGTGGGAGAAGCAGCCGGAGGCAAGGGTCACCCAGCAGCTGGAAGAGATCACTATGCACTTCGATCTGTCCGAACCTGCGGACAGCGAAGTCACTGCGCCAACGGCAAGCGGTACTGATGAAGGAAGCAATGAGGATATTGCAGCTGATGCTGAAGTCAATGATCCGGAGCAGCAGCAGCAAGAGGCTTCCAAAACACCAAGTCTGCCAAAGCGAAGGAAACAGATTGGTGGGGGGACAAAGGATTGGGTGAAGGTGAAAGAATGGGTAAATCCAACCATCTACCCTGCACGTACCAGCATGGCAACGAGAAAGCTGTTGAGCTCCACAAGTGGAGGAGCCACAACTGAGCAGCAGGAACAGGCTCAAGGCGAGATGCAGTGCTGTTCTTGGGTGATGACCAAGAGTCAGATGACGAGGAGCCTGCATACTGCTTTTACGCACCAATACAACCTCCGAGCATGGATCATGCGCTAGCCGGGCCTCAACGGGGGAAGTGGCTCGTTTCAAGAGATGCAGAGTACAACAGCCAGATGGAGAATCACACATGGGACCTGGTGTACTTGCCAAATGGGAAGAAGGCAATACAGTGCAAGTGGCTGGCAAAAATCAAGACGGATGAGAAAGGAGAGCCATCAGTTTACAAGAGCAGGCTGGTGGCAAAGGGGTTTCAGCAGAAAGAGAAGGAAGATTACAAAGAAGTGTTTGCCCCAACTGCTAAGTCTCCAACGCTACGTGTTGCTGGCGGTAGCTGCTGTGCGCAAATGGAAGGTGAAGCAGATGGACATCGTAACCGCTTTTCTGTACGGCATTGTGGAAGAGGAGGTGTACATGGTTCAACCACCTGGCTATGAGGATGGAACCGGTCGTGTCTGCAAACTTAACAAGGCCATCTATGGCTTGAAGCAGGCCCCGAGATGCTGGTACAACAGGCTGGCCAGTGCACTGGAAGGGATTGGATTCCGTGCGAGTGCATGCGACGAGAGCCTGTTCCTGATGGGAGAGGGGGAGTCACTTGTGCTTCTGCTGGTGTACGTGGATGACATCCTGCTCTTCAGCAGCAGTGACAAGGAGATCGATGGGGTGCAGCGGAAGCTCACAGAGCAGTTCAAGTGCAAGTCACTTGGACAGGCAAGGTACTACCTGGGAATGCATATTGAGCGGGATACTGAACGTGGCTGGCTCAAACTGCATCAGGGACAATACATCAACACCTTGGCTGAGAAGTACTCTCTGCAGGAAGAACGGGAAGTGGTCACACCTTTGCCTTCCGAGTTCAAACTCATAAAGGCAGCTGAAGGAGAAGGAGTTGAGAGTGAAGACCAGAGGCAATTCCAATCCATGGTCGGGAGCCTACTCTACGCTGCTGTGCATACTCGGCCTGACATCAGCTTTGCTGTGGGACAGCTGGCTCGAGTAGTGCAAAATCCAACAGAAGAGCAGTGTGGTGCAGCGGAGAGAGTGGTGCGCTACCTCAAGTCATACCCTACAGTGGGAGTACAGTATTCAGCCTCTGCTCAACTCAGTCAAAAAGGAATTGAAGTCGTCAAAGAGAAGGGGAGCAGCTCGGAGAAGGAAAGGTGTTCCTTTCCTGTTTTGCTGATGCCACGTGGGCTTCTGAGCATGAGGATTCATCATCAGTTCGTGGATACATCTGCATGGTGGGAGGTGGGCCTGTAAGTTGGAGGTCCAAGAAGCAGTCTGAGACGGCACTATCTTCAGTGGAATCTGAGTACATGGCGATGTTTCATGCGGCAAAAGAAATCATCTGGCTAAGGAGGCTCTTGAAGGAGATCGGCCATGAACAGACTTGTGCGACACCTCTGTTCAGTGATAGCAAGGGAGCATTGCCATGGCACGCAATGCAGTTGTTCATGGTTGAACAAGCACATGAGGATCAAGTGGCATTGGCTGCGGAGGAGTGAAGCTTGGGACACTGGATCCGATCTACGTGAAACTCAGCAACAGCCAGCCGACTTCCTTACCAAGCGGCTAGCTGAGAGCCACACTGGCGCTGTGTGAGGATGGCGGGAATGTCCTTGAACTAGAGACGGCGAAACAAGCCGACAGTCTGAGGGGGAGTGTGTTGGTGCATATTCATTTGCACGTCATCCTGTCGTCTGTTCGCATCATTTCGTTTGCATGTGTTTGTGTGCTACGTTGTTTGTATGGTTTGTTGGGTTTGCATGTCTTTGCATGTTCATCTTGTGCTTGTGCAGATGTGCTTGGATTGTGCATGACATCGAGCACATTCAACGAGCCAAGAATTGTTGGAATCGGAGCACATATGAAGAAGTTACGAAGAAATGTTTGATGGATTTGTTACAACTCATTGGAAGTCCTTGTCAGCTGCTAGACCAAAAGTTGGAGAGCCCTATAACGAGGAGGGACCAGCATGTGTGGGACTTTTGTCCCCACCTTGCAGCTGCAGCATTTGGGGTTTGGAGGCCAACCTGGCACAGTGTGAATTTTGTCTTGCCAGGCTGGCTGAACCTGAGGATGGGGAGTCAAAACTTTGACTCTTGTCATGTTCTTGACCATGGGCCTCCAGGGTCCTTCTCTTTCATCCTTCCCTTCCTACCCCACCTTCCAACTGTGCTTCAATGCCTTTTCTATCATGCCTCTGATCTTGTAAGCTTCAATCATAGTGACTCTGAGGACTGTCAACTTCTCCTAGGGCAGATTACCCCCAGTGCGCCAACGCCATAGCTCACTCGTTAAGCTACGGAATCGAGTGATTCAACTTTCAGTGGAAAGCTGACGCTGCCAGCGACAACATATCCGATTTTCAGATCGTTTCACCGATTGGAGTTTTGGATATAGCTATTCGAAGGTCGCGAGTTTTCTGGGCGTCATAACGAAGTGCTGCAGAAATTTCCAAGGAGCCATTGAATCATCTGCTTATAGCCTTCTCTAACCAACAGTTAGTGTCCTCTTCGGTACGTCTCCCCCGGACGCTACACTGCCTCGCATTGGTCTGCAGCCAAGAGGGTCCTCTGCTATCTACAAGCCACCAAGTCTCACATCCTCACTCTTGGTGGTACCTCTCCAGTCAAGCTCGAGGGATCACAGACTCCTCATGGGCCGATGACCAGACTGACAGACGCTCCTCCCAAGGGTACTGCTTCACCCTTGGTAGCGGAGTCATCAGCTGGCGCTCCACTCGGTCCTCTGCAGTTTCCCTGTCGTCCTGCGAGGCCGAGCTCTACGCGGGCACAATGGCTGCTCAAGAGGCACGCTGGCTCTCCTTTCTCCTCGCTGAGTTAGGCTACCCCCAGCAGTCGCCCACCCTGTGGTGTGACAATCAGAGCGCCATTCACTTCACCAAGGATCCTGTGTTCCACTCTCGCACCAAGCACATCGAACTTCGTCATTTCTTCATCCGAGATCTTGTTCAGAGTGACCAGCTGACGGTACGGTACATCGCCTCAGATTGCAACCTCGCCGACCTCTTTACCAAGGCTCTCGGCAAGGCTGACCACCATCGTCTTCTCCGTTCCATGGGGCTATGTGCTCCTTGACCGGGTTTGCAGTCTATGGGGGTGTGTTAGAAATAGAATGCAAATACCATTCTTGTATTTGTACTTTTATATCCTAGTTTAGGTTATGAATGTTCTAGTGGGTTGGGGTGTACTCACAAATCCCAACCTCACCCAATTGTGATCCCCCAATCTCCAATTACCCAATTGGAGATTCCGGAGATCCCAATGGGGATTCCCTCCAATTCCCCTTCATCCATTCATTCTCACCTTGCCATGTACTTATAGAGCCTTGGGCTCCTTACCTAATCAATCATTTCAACTCTATTTCTTACACACTCCCACTATAGCATCAGCTTACGGCCCCTCCGATTCCTTCGCCTGATGCCTGCAATGACCCGTACCTAAGCTAGTTGTTCACTCATGTATGCCATGATGTGCACTCGACCAGACTGTTAGTGTCCTCTCTCGATATGTTTCCCCTTGAAGCTAAACTGGTTCCCATTCGTCTATTGCCAAGAGGGTCCTGCGCTATCTACTAGCCACCAAGTCTCACAACTTTACTCTCGGTGGTACCTCTCCAGTCAAGCTCGAGGGATATTCATATTCCTCATGGGCCGATGACCAGACTGACAGACGCTCCTCCCAAGGGTAATGCTTCACTCTTGGTAGCGGATTTATCAGCTGGCGCTCCACTCGGTCCTCTGCAGTCTCCTTGTCATCCTGCGAGGCCGAGCTCTACGCAGGCACAATGGCTGCTCAAGAGGCACGCTGGTTCTCCTTTCTCCTCGCTGAGTTAGGCTACCCCCAGCAGTCGCCCACCCTGTGGTGTGATAACAAGAGCGCCATTCACCTCACCAAGGATCATGTGTTCCACTCTCGCACCAAACATATCAAACTTCGTCATTTCTTCGTCCGAGATTTTGTTTAGAGTGACCAATTGACGGTATGGTACATTGCCTCGGATTGCAACCTCGCCAACCTCTTTACCAAGGCTCTCGGCAAGGCTGACCACTATCGCCTTTTCTGTTCCATGGGGCTATGTGCTCCTTGACGAGGTTTGCAGTCTTTGGGGGTGTATTTGATATAGATTGCAAATCGCACTTTTGTATTTGTATTTTTATATCCTTGTTTAGGTTAGGAATGTTCTAGTGGGTTGGGGTTTACTCACAAAATCCCAACCTCACCCAATTGTGATCTCCCTAATCTCCAATTACGCAATTGGAGATTCTGGAGATCCCTGTGGGGATTCCCTTCGATTCTCCCTTCATCCATTCTCTCTCACCTTGCCATATCCTTTTAGAGCCTTGTTCTCCTTATCTTATCAATATTTTCAGCTCTATTTCTTACACATGACGTGCCATAGAAAATCATGATATCCTGGGTATGCTATTTTGGGTTCAATTATGGAACTATTTTGGAAATATGGCACTATGGAAACTCTGGTCGATCACGACATCCAGACGGACCTCTGCACAAGGGACAAAGAACCAAAAGAGGAAAGGGGGTATGTGTTTCCATCGGTGAAACATATTCAAGGTGTCAGGTTTCCCCAAGTATTAAAACAGTATCCATTTCGCATATATACTAGCCAAGTACAAAGGCACCCTTATTGGGACTTGGGGCCAAGTCGCTGAAGGCACAACAAATGCTAATAAAATACAAGGCTCAATGAATGCGGGAAAAATGCACGCTTCCTTTGAAGACTGGAGGATGCGTGTAGTGAGGTGCCAACGAAGAAGGCATGACTACGATGGGACGAGGGAGGAGATGAGAACAGTAGCCGGTTTTGATATGGTTCAAAGTATCTGTAGACTTATTTAGGCCGATGCACGGTAGCTAAAATTTTACAGCTGTGGGGATGAAACATGCATTGGTGTAGAGGCACTAGGGTGAATGAGGGGTGGAGAGTGCAGAGAAGCACGGCATGAATGGATAAATGTGCACGACATGCCCCTGAGGAACCCAATAGTGTGATGGACCTCTAATAGCCCGACCTTGGCTCCATCGAGCTCATTGATGTTGAGTGTTGCCTTCCATCCAGGGGGAACGGTCTTTGTGTCCTCCCTCTTAAGGGCAAAGGGTGTGGCATACTAGCTAGCCTGCCAACGATGGTGCGGGGGAAGAGAGAATGGTACTTCACACATTCAGTGCATCTTGGCGGATTGTTGGTTGACATGGTTTTGAGCCAATTGAGTTATGAATTCAGAGCTCACCCAGCTGGCATACTCATATTGTCACTAGCCACCAATGGGGTGGATGGCACGAGCCCTCTGCATGCGATCTGAGCAACCCGACAAAGCATCATTCCCAGTTTGTGGAACAACATGAGGGGAGGGGGGGAGGGGGAGTCTTCTAGTTTTAGATACAAGACCAATACGAATAGTGGCGATTTGGGCCAATGTTGGTCACACTCGCACGGCATGAGCGACGGTCCAAACCGTGTGTAAGAATAGAGCTGAAAGCATTGATTAGGTAAGGAGCCCAAGGCTCTATAAGTACATGGCAAGGTGAGAGAGAATGGATGAAGGGGGAATCGGATGGAATCCCCATTGGGATCTCCGGAATCTCCAATTGGGTAATTGGAGATTGGGGAGATCACAATTGGGTGAGGTTGGGATTTATGAGTACACCCCTGTTGGTTGGAGAAGGCTACGAGTAGAATATTTGACAGCTATACCATTTGGCGCACTGGGGGGTAATCTGCCTTAGGAGAAGTTGACAGTCTTCAGAGTCACAAATATTGAAGGTTACAAGTTCAAAGACATAATGGCAAACATTGAAGCACAGTTTTGGAAGGTGGGGTAGGAAGGGAAGGATGAAAGGGAAGGACCCTGAAGGCCTTTGGTCAAGAACATAACAAGAGTCAATTTCTTGACTCCCCATCCTCAGGTTCAACCAGCCTGGCAAGACAAAATTCACACTGTGCCAGGTTGGCCTCCAACCCCCAAATGCTGCAGCTGCAAGGTGAGGACAAAAGTCCCACACATGCTGGTCCCTCCTCGTTATAGGGCTCTCCAACTTTGGTCTAGCAGCTGCCAAGGACTTCCAATGAGTTGTAACAAATCCATCAAACACTTCTTCGTAACTTCTTCATATGTGCTCCGATTCCAACAATTCTTGGCTCGTTGGAATGTGCTCAATGTCATGCACAATCCAAGAGCATCTGCACAAGCACAAGATGAACATGCAAACCCAACAAACCATACAAACAACATAGCACACGAAACACATGCAAACGAAATGATGCGAACAGACAACAGGATGACGTGCAAATGATGAAGGGGGAATTGGATGGAATCCCAATTGGGATCTCCAGAATCTCCAATTGGATAATTGGAGATTCGGCAGATCACAATTGGGTGAGGTTGGGATTTGTGAGTACACCCCAACCCACTATAACATTCCTAACCTAAACTAGGATATAGAAGTACAAATACAAAAGTGGGATTTGCAATCTATTTCTAACACACCCCCATAGACTGCAAACCCGGACAAGGAGCGCATAGCCCCATGGAACGGAGAAGGCTATGGTGGTCAGCCTTGCCGAGGGCCTTGGTAAAGAGGTCGGCAAGGTTGCAATATGAGGCGATGTACCGTACTGCCAGCTGGTCACTCTGAGGACCGAGTGGAATGCCAGCTGATGACTCCGCTACCAAGGGTGAAGCAGTACCCTTGGGAGGAGCGTCTGTCAGTCTGGTCATCGGCCCATGAGGAGTCTGTGTATCCCTCGAGCTTGACTGGAGAGGTACCACCGAGAGTGAGGATGTGAGACTTGGTGGCTTGTAGATTGCGGAGGACCCTCTTGGCTGCAGACCAATGCGAGGCAGTGTAGCGTCCGGGGGAGAAGTACCGAGAGAGGACACTAACTGGGTAAGCCAAGTCAGGTCGAGTGCACATCATGGCACACATAAGTGAACCGACTAGCTCAGGGTACAGGTCCTTGCAGGCGTCAAGAGAAGGAATTGGAGGGGTCGTGAGCTGATGCTGTAGTGGGAATGGAGTGGAGACAGAGTTACAGGAGTCCATGTCAAAGTGCTTGAGAAGGTTGTTGATGTAGGACTCTTGGGAGAGGGTGATTGTGAGAGTACGATCCCGTTCCATTGCTTCCTCCTTTCCATAAACCTTTGGTTTATCCTGTTATTATCATTATATCACTGACCAGGCTCGGGGTGTACTGGCGTGCTATATCTAGCGTAATCCTGCCGTGATCCCTTAAAGCCAATAGCCTCGCGTGGCTATACGCAGGGTGATTCTATTTTCTAGAAGGGTCTATTCCCTTGGGATAGGATAGACCTGGTTACTGATGTACCTTGGAAGTATACAAGCGCCTTGTACTGATCGATAGTGTAACCTTTCCTCGACACATTCGATCCTGTGACACTTGGTAATCAGAGCTTTTCTCACTCGGCCGTGCTCAGCTAAGCAGCAGCAGCAGGACTCCTGCCTCGAAAAACCGCCGGGGGCGACTAATTCGACGCCGATTCTAGTAAGCACCACCTTCGCATTTTTTCGAATCACCCCCTCCGCGCATGTTCTGAACAGGATGGTGAACTTCGACAACATCAAAGTTACTCAGCAGCTCTTCGAAAGCACCTCCGCCCTACAGGAGGAGATGCGAGCCAACCTCGAAGCTTGGCGAAACGAGTTCGAGCGAGTAACTCGACTCGCCAACGCGCAACACGAAACGACTACGGTGACGACGTTTCTCGAGGCTCTGAAACCACACCCACCTTAGCCGTTCGATCCGAGCGATCGAGATTCCGATGTCCGGAGATGGATCGCCGGCATGGAGATCTACTTCGCAGCCGTCGGATGGAGCTCGCCAGTCTGGGACGGTCAACGCGTACGACTCGCGGCGACACTGATGTGGGGACCGGCACTTGAGTGGATCGGCGGTAACAGCACCTTCATCCACGGCGAAGCCACGTGGCAGCAGTTCCGCACCGACCTGCTGAAACGTTTCAAGCCGATAAATTCGGGTTTCCTCGCCCGGGAAAAAAATCATCGCCATCGACAGTTCGGGAGTGTAGCACAGTACACGCAGCAGATGGAAGATTTTTTTAACCGCATTCATGACCTGAACGAAGGGG